CAGCTCAGAGAACAAAAATCCATCGAAATTTTACAAGAATAGACATATAAAATAAATGTAACCATTTGATCTTTTTTTTTTCGATTTGTCTGATGAAAATGTGTAACGGTTCCTTAAAAAGATGCATATTGTTCTCTACTTAAATGAACATTGTTTAAACGTGACTCTAAAGCTACTAATTCAGATGAGATTTTCACTTACTTTCAGCTGAAACAACCAGCTTTCTTATTATAATTTTCAACTCAGTTACTCAATACAATTAACTTAAAACTCTAAACATTATAGTCTCCGATTACCAATAATATTATTAATACTATATCAGTACTTAGTTTTATCAATAATATAAAGGATACTGTTACTTTATTTAACAATTTTATTCATTATTTCATTGTTAGAAGTTCTTATCAAATAACTCTTGGCTTAAATATTCTAATAGTTGATTCCATAAGTCAATTAAAGCTAGACCAGCATGGAAAACCTGGAAACATTGGACGGCTGTTTTGTTTTATTGTGAGACTTATCAGCATTGCGCAGTCATGACTCCGCCTTGCGAGAGTCCCACAATAGGACGAAACGGCTGTCCAGTGCTTCCAGGTTTTCCTTAGTGGTCTAGCTTCAACTGACTGATGATTTTAACTATTGAAGTTACTACAATCTCCATAAAACCCCTTCTGATACTAAATACTTTACTCATAAACATTCCATGTTGAAAATATTCAAGAATATCAATCGCAATTATATAATTTGTTTTTTTTTAAACCTAATAATTTGGAACTACAATAACCAGATAAGTCGAAAATATTTCCTGTAACCTTCATTATCGTTACAAATCATTTTTCACATAAATTATGACATAATACTTACATTGTTAAGTTTCATATATCAATATCCGAGTACTAAAATAAAAGTAAAGTTGCTATGATCACTTTCGTAGATGTTTGTTCACAAAACGTAAACTAAAAATATACTACTTTTAAACATTTAATATTAGTGTTAAATTTTATCACAAACAATGTACCATTGAAATTTCCAATGATATAAATCACCAAACTGATTTATTAAACTGATAATAACAATTCAATGAATTTATTATCTCGGAAAAGAAAAAACAACTTGAAGTAATTCATATTGATAGGCATGAGTTTTGTTTATTTATGACATGTCTTTGTTCTTTTTTTTTTAGATAAGCATTGAAATATCAATTTGTTGACATTTGTGTTGATATTTTATTTTAATAATTGATAAAACAAACTCAGTATCTTTTATTTGAATGATCCCATTGATGTTTAGCATTGCAATTGATCGGTCTGTTATTGACATATGTGCATACTGTGTGTATTACCTTTATATTGCTTTAATTCACAAGCATTTGATGCAAAGATGGACTCAGTAGCTAAGTGGATAACGTGATGACGTTTGAAGCGAACAGTACTAGGTTCGTGTTCTAGAGTGAACATCAATTCTGAGATGCAGGTACATTAAACTGAGCAGTCCCAAATAGGACGAAATATACGTTAAACTGGATTCCACTGTTAGTCACTATCCACCTTTGCTTAGAACAAAATAAACGTTGAATAAAATTAATATCACTGAATACATTTTGGTTATTTCAAACTTTTTTGTATAGGAATATTTTTACTATTTAAAACATTAAAGATCTTTGGAAAGAACTAAATCTTAACTCATGCATTTTAATGAAGTTTTTTTGGTGTAATTAAGTAACTTTTAATGAGTCATTGTTTCATCATTCATGCTTTGAATAAAAATAATTTTTCATAATATTAAAAATATATTTTGTTACTGAAATTCAAAATCCACCGCATCCAGGTTTCCCATGATGATCTAGCTTCAATTGACTCATGATCTCAAATATTAAAATTACTACAGTATCCACATAACCCCTTCTGATACTAATCAACATATGCTCACTAGTGACTGGCTTCAAGATGTATTACATGTAGTTCTATTGAGAAGCAGCGACCAATGGGGTTTGACCGGGTCTGTTGTGAGATAGTAATCAACCGAGGACACTGGTGGGCGGTAGCTCAATTTTGTGGATTGGTCGAAGTTAGATATTAACACCGTTGGATGCCAGCTCAGTGGTGTAGAGATTTATTGTTCGCTTTCGAGACCGGTAAGTCCTGGGTTCAAAATTCGTGAGGTGAGGTCGTGAATGCGCACTGTTAAAGAGTCCCATAGGAGGACGAAATGGCTTTCCAGTACTTCCAGGTTTTGCATGAGGGTCTAGTTTCCATTGACTCATGATCTTAACTATTAAAGTTATATAAATCTTTGAATTGAATCGGGGTTAATGTTAATTATTTTGTACTCAATATAATAAAAAATGTTGTCATAAAAAACCCAGTATAAAGTTTGAACTATATCCAATACATTTGAAACATATTTATTATTTCTATCAAAATTAAATGATTAAATGTTATCATAAACATTCTCCTATTCCCCCTAAATGGATAGAAAGAGAGGAATAAGCAAATGTTACAGTAAAATATTAGTATATTAGAAAACGTATATCATTTCAGAGTAGAATACATACCAACCATGTTATATATCGAAGTTACAAATGCTCATTGATCTTTATTTTTAAGATCTCAATTTGGATCTTACTTATTTCTGTTCTTATATACTTTTTTTGTACTAGTGGTTTATGGTTTTTGCATTTATTTTCATAGTGGAATTTTTAAAATTTGATTAGTCATTTAATTAAAAATGCTTTGTAATGTAATGGATTTCATGTATTAGCACTAGGAGTATAAATATTTTCATATGGTTCTGTTTAAAAGATACTTGTGAAGTTATACTACGAAGTCATATAGTGATTTCTATGTTATTTCCTATTCAATAACTATTACTTAACATTGATCTATTGAGTGTATTTTATGTCAAACATTTGTAATACCAATATTGACTGATTACAATGAGATTGAAGATTGGGATTCTTAAACATGACTATATCTTGATAACTATTTATAAAACTATTGATTAATAGTGTATCCGATGTTTTGCGCTCACATGAATTAATAAATGGTTCATAATACATCGGATCATGATTAGTGTATACCACAATTTATTTAAGCGTACCATTTTATGGTCTATATGAGCTTATTTGTTTCCTAACCATCAAAACAAATTGTACTCTACTTGTTATAACAAGGTATTATGCTTCACTATGAAATTCAGTCTGCTTTATGAATACACCTATATCAACTAAGAACAAATATATGTATAGACGAAACTGGCAATTTATGAAATTTCGAGTTATTAATGATATGACGATTGTTTTAATGTGAAAGATTAGATAAAATCAAATATATCGATTAATTAATACCTGCAAAATGATATTATTAAATACGAACTATTAATCTTGCTAATTAAGTACGGTTGAAAGCATCAACTCTAATTATAACAATCAATGTACTACGATATACAGTATTAAATGTATTACTTGTTTATGTTGCCCATGCATTCAAAGTTGAATCTTGAGAATATCACTATTTGAACCGAGCACCTCAACGACGCTCAATTTAAACAAAGTAGGTAAATGATACTATGGTGCATTTTGTTTATGTAAAACGTTAATACTGAAAACACTAGATAATTCCCTAAAATAATTGTCTCAGCAATGTAACTGTAAATGTTTCTGTCATGAAGATGTGATAATTAACTTGAATTTGTAATTTGAAACAATGATTATGTTCAACTAATAAGGAGTAGTATTTGAAGGTTACCAGTCAAATGGAAGCATTCACCAACGATCTCCTACCTTAACGACTTCGTTGATTAGAACATGTACAAAAACTATCTATTCGAGTATTGATTATGTGATTAACTAAAAGAGGAAAATATTTTCATTTGTTTCGACAAAGTTTTTCTTAGGTTATATTATAAAAAGGTACATTTTTACCTTTTTCAAGTTATACAAGTATCCTTAATTTACATCAATTTATTTCAGGCAATACATTGTTTAAATATAAATTTATACTTGCAAAAATAAATAGTTATATCTTTGATGATATTCAGGAATAAATCGTCCGTTTAAAGTTATTTTATATTACAAAAAATAAAAGACTAAACAGTTTCCCACACCCGCACATACATTTATACACAAGCGAATAAATACTAGATACACCAATGTGAACACGTAAACACATGTACACCTACAAATATATATATATATATATATGTATACATATACACACGCTAAATGCAAATAACCACTATCTTCCTATTGCACCCCTTATGATGCAACTGAAGACAAGTAAAATAAGAATGAGACTATATTAATAGTAATATAATCATATTACTAGAATTCATTTAGTTAATATGTTCAGTAGAATATGAACTGTAAAGAAAAAAAAATTATGATGATTGGTGCATAACAACTAATAACAACTAATACAATCCTTACTATATTCTGTTTACACTTATTACTTGATTACTTGATTAATATTAGTAAACAAAAAAACATTCGGTTAACTGCAAAAACATTTTTTGGAAAAGGAAAAACAAAACAGTAAACATTCAATATTTTTTTTCGTTACAAAAAAACAAAAAAGCAAAACAGAAACAAATCAAGGAACGAATCACATACTATTTCTGAGAACTACAAAATATCACATAATAACATTTTGTATCTGTGTATATACTTCAAAAAGAGTAAGAAATTGTCTTGATTAACTAGTTGAAACATAATTTATCAAGATTTATTCATAATGAATACCATGCAATTAGTCACTATGATTTCGTAAAGATATTCTATGTCCTATCATAATTGAGAATTAGGGGTTTCTAACTAAACCGTTTAGTATATATATATGTATATTACTTATATGTTCAACTATTAAATTTTGTTGTTGTTGCGAAAGTAAGTATTTACCACTATTCTCTTGTTTTTCATAATGAACATAATATTTTGGAATATAATCAAATATGTGTCGATCCATACCATTGACGATAACACTATGGATAATAAAAATATCTAGGATTTATTAGAGAAAAATATTCAATTCTGTGAAGAAACTTGTGAACTAGGCTTAAAAGACTGTTTATTATTTGTACCGAAATACACTACAATTGATTCAACCGAATATAAACAATCTATTAATATAACAACAATATCAATAGAAATGAAAGAAGGTCAAGTTAATGGAAATCAATCGACTATTTCAAAAAAGAATCCAGATTCAAATATGAGATCTAGTAAGTCAATAATGATTTTTGATATAAATGTTTAGATATTTTTTCGTGTTAATAAATTTTGTCCATAATATTGTTGCTTGAGTAAAACAATATACAAAGTTATTCTTATATACCAACCTACTTATCAGAGATAATAATTGATGTTTTCATTTATTGTAAACCATAGTTTAGATAACAGATATCTTGTAACCAATGTTTGAATGTAGTATACATCTCTTAGATTTTAGAATGATCCGGTTAATGATTCTACTGTTGAACTAAATAGTCTTTGTTATCATACGATGGCTACATTACTTGATTTGTAAATAGATGGATAATTAAAACAACGTTATTTGTCATTTTTGTAAATTATTAAAGCCAAACGTTGTTCCTAAGGTTCTTGGTCAATGATAACATTTAAAATATAGCAATTCATCAATTCAAACCATAAAGATTACAACAAAGGGCGAATATAGAGTATTGATCTGAAAGAAAGTGAACTATTCAGATCAAACAATAAATGCTCGATCAAAGAGAATGTATTAGGAAATAGAATTTTATATTAATAATGTAGATCACATCTTAAACAAATATGAAACTGTGATAATATCCTTAGGTATACTCGATGTCAACTGTCGACCATATATAGAGTTATAAAACCTCTTTCTTTGACTTATGTAGAGCGTTGATAGAAAATATTAAACACTGGTTTACTGAACCATAATTTTTATGTATCTCATACCAGGAAAACTATCTAGCTATGCAATACATATAGAACCACCTTTCTAAATATTTACTTCGCATCCAGTATCTTTTGAAGGCTGTTAAAAAAAATTGAAAAACACCTAATTTCATATTATACCTAAACTAACATATGGATTTGACAAAATATACATTGTATAATATATCTGACTGAAATATTTGGCATCCAACGGTGTTAATGTCTAACTTCAACCAATCCACGAAGTTGCGCCACCGCACACCATTGTCTTCGGTGTGTTGACATCTCACAACAAACCTGGTTGAACTCCACCGAGTAGTCCCATACTAGAACGAAACGGCCGTCCAGTGCTCCCAGGTTTTCCATGGTGATCTAGCTTCAACTGACTCATGTTTTCAATCAGTGAAATTTCTAAAATCTCTACAAAACCCCTTCTGAAAATGAGGATTAATAAAGAATATAACATCCTATTCTAAATGTATATTATTATTTAACTGTGAATAGTGTTATTCACATAGTCATTAAACTGAACAAATGTGTTTAATGTTGAATAACCATAGATTAATAATTATCGAACATCAAGGAATCAAAATTGTACTTATTCTCATCTATTAGTCAAGGATTCCAATTCCAATCTACAATTGAAACCTTTCAATAAGTCTAGTTAGATTATTACTGTAGTCATGTAAATACACAAAAAGGATATGATTTCATTAATTCATGTTCATTTTTAGCACTAATTAAGCGAATTGAATGTGTTATGTTATATTAAAACAAGAATCCTTAAAAATAATCCTTTCAATTTTTGAGATGGTGGAAAAGATTTGTAGCTCAAGTAAATGATTTTGATGGAGTTTCGTTCGTTGAGCTAGATAGTTTGGATGTGGTGATTTCGTCGTTCTTCTGAACGACATCATCAGCACAAACTTCAGGTAGAAGACTTCTACTTGAAGTTCTCTTAATTTAAATCAAAACGAAATTATTACTACTTAATTTTTTTATTTATTAGTGAAATTTTATTATTCACGAAATAACAAAGACAATTTTATTTCAAATGTAAAATAGTTACGAAGATCCAACTCCTAGATATTCCTCTAAATCAAACTGCATGTATATTCTACTCTGTATTTTGTATAATATATTATTTATGTACTAAATCATATGAACGGTACACTTTTGGTATAGTCAATGTATAGATTTAGCGAAAAAGAAACGGTCTAAATGTTACTCTCTAAAAGAAAGAATCTATAATTACTTAGTTGCGTGTTTGTTTATAATTTAATTTAATTAAGAAAATAGTCTTTAATCATTTTCTAACAGAAATTATTTTCGTCATGTTTAACACTTCATTCATAATCGGTTGAACTTAATCATGCTTTTAGGGGTGGTCATCTTCAACATTTAGTTTTATTAATACATAATTAAGCTCATTGATCTTCCTTCTGATGTAAAAGGCGAAATTTGACTATATTTGTTATCATATTTCCTAACTCATAAACGACTTCTTCATTGTTATTCCATCACAAATTGCAAAATATAAGGTTGATAAATACACCTAAATATCCAACCAGTGAATCTCTTTTGTTGATCAATACAATAACTCACTAACTATCAGATTAGTTGAGGTTAGAAGTTAACAGCATTGGATACTGACTCAATGGCTTAGAGATTAAATGTAGGCGTGCGAGATAGATAGACCCTGGGTTCGAATCCCACGAGTGGGATCATGGGTGCGACCAGTGCTCTCACATTTTCAATGGTGGTGGTCTAGTTTAAATTGATTCATGAATTCAACTATTAAATTACTATAAAACCCACCAAAACCCTTTCTGATTAATAAATTTGTTACGGTCTGTTACCTGCAAAGATGCATGACAATATAATAATTACTGATCATTAGTGTGCTTATATACATACACATACATTAATTACATAAAGTAATTTAAAATTCTAATGTTAGTTTGTTAAAAATTTCATTTCACCTTTTTTAGTTTTGAAATATTTCCTATAATAGATTTTATTGAAATCTGTACGTCTTACATTGTTTAGAAAATTTTTGCCTAGCGTGATCTATTCAAGATGATGATCACATGATGTGGTAAAATCTTCTTGTATCATTCTGTTGAACGTATTCTGTAAATCAAAATTGTGAAACGTGTAGTTTATTATAGATATCAAATTTAATCGCTGCATAATAACAATAAAATTTTAGCAGATTATAAGATGAATTGGCTAGTTTACAATTTTATTTATTTATTTGAACACATAAATATTGGTAAAAAACTGCATTGAATACATATACGCCAAACAAGTCACTTGATTTGTGTGTGGGCTGTGATACTGCCCGGGTTCCTAGGTCGAAGCAAATGATTTTCTTGGGAGACCACACATGGATCATTCGATACAAAGGTCTGATCCACAAAGCAGTGGAGCAACATTAGGAGATGTAATCCCATGGTAGCCGGTAATCAATAATTGGTTCATACTCCATTTGCTCCCTCAGATTACTGGAGCCCATGTACACCAGTGATTTGAAATCAGGGTTTTCCAACTTCTCTAGATGACCTCTCCGTCTCCATCAACCCGGTTAAAGCGCCGGACATTCGCTTTTTGTCCTCTCAATTTCGTAAACAACAGTAATGCTTCATGAAGGCAGTGAATAGGACTTCCCTGACAGAGTGGCCGTATGCACGTGGCCATGTGAGAGTATTTTGAGAGTGAGAGCTAACTCTTTTCATCCTCAGCGGTACCAGGGCATTTGAGGACTTACCAGGGCATCTGGTGCTTTTATTAAGCAGATTTGGTATATGTGAATAGATAAACATCACTTACCCTCTTTTAATCTCAGTTATAAACAATGTGTTTTAGTGAGAGCTACTGCTAAACTCCCATCACATTTTTACAAAATATTCATATTAGGATAAAATTAGCTATGGAACTACGTATCACTTGATTGAAATTCTACGTTTGTTCATATCCACGATCCTATGATAAATTAAATATAAAAGACTTTGATCTGCTCATGACTTTGATGAAGAAAAACTTTGACGATCATTGATGAGTATAATAGTATTTAATTTTTAAATTTGACATTGTATGTTTATTGTTCTAAAAGTATCAGTATTTATCACTTATTTTCTCGCTATGCCTAAAATGTTTTCACACAGACAAATGTTTTATGAAGTTAGATTTGATCAACTTCAATATCTATATTTTTCAAATCTAGTATCTCTTGTGATATTTCTTAATCAACAAACGATCGGTCATTATATCATCATCAGTGTTGAAAATTGTAGTAGTAGTAGTAGTAGTAGTAGAGGAAGAAGAAGTAGTAGTAGAAGAGGAAGAAGTAGTAGGAGTAATAAAATCGAGTAAGTGAAAAACATCTTATAATAAGAGTGAGCAATAATGATGTGGAACCATTCATAAAGCTTTCATACTTTCTTGGATACAATGACTTTTGTATAAATACACTGAGGCAAATACTTAAACAAAAACATAAATAAATATTTAAATTTGATTAACTAAAAGTTAGGAAGAAACGAAATGTCTTCGCTATCGGAAAATATTCAGTTTATTCTTGTTTTTTTTCTCCTCTGTAAAATAAAAAAAGTGGATATCTCTGATTAACAGGTACTATGAACAATCAATAACATACATTTATTATGACCGCATTTTTTCATTATATGAATGATTGAAAACTGTCATTCAAAATATATTGATTGAAATTCCTAGGAAAAACAGTTAAAATATTATTACATAACCTGAATTTAGATGGTCTTAATATGGAATATAAGCTAAATCATATGGTATTTTGTTGCACTACATTTTCAATCAACAAAATGATGATACAAAAAAAGTAATGAAGAAAATTATGCGATTTAAGTTGATAAGTTGAACTTAGCATGGTTATTCACTGAGGAAATCTAAATGTTGGTTTTCAATTACTTGGATATATTACTAACAAGAGGAGTATATTATTATTCATTGAATCAGTAGTATATAAAACACAATCAGTAGCCTATTTGTTTCATAATATAGCTTAATATTAACATGGTTTTACACGATAATCTCTGAAGGTAGGCGATTGGATATTTCCTTTAGAGTCATCGAAATTAAACAAGAAGGCCTAATGTTAGAGAGGAAAAACCAGCTTCTGACTAAGGAGGAGAAGGTGTTAGAAGTGGATAGGACATACATTACAGAAATCACCAAACTCCATCACAAAGCAAGCGCTTACCTGGAGTCCTGAAGGAAAATGGAAAAGATGAAGATAAAAAAACACTGCTTTGAGAATTGG